CGATGCGCCTACCAGTGCAGGCACTGAAGTGTCGTGCATATCGCTGCCATGCATGCGCAGTGTGGGCAGAACCGAATGGAAACATGTAAAAATCTATTGTTCCGACAAAATGTTGTAAACAAAGGACATTGTTACAAGTTCCTTGCAAAATAGGTAAACAACATGTTTGAACCTGGAACCGGTGAAGTTCACCGATAGGTTAAGGCCAACCCCAGCTGGTGCCATCCTTGAACAGTATGTAAATCACAGGCCATAAGGCTGGGTGCCAATTCTAACAACCTTGATTCAATTATTGGTGACAGGGGAGTATTGGTTCAAGAAGAAGGTGGAGTGAAGACAGGGGCTAAATTTGAGGGAAGGGGGGGGGGGGGGGGTACCGGTATATATCCACCCACACTTGTTCACCAGGGGGGGGGGGGGAGGGGGAAATGGAGCACCCCCCTCCCCCCACTGGTACTTTTTCAGATTTTTTTTCTCAGAAACTCTCATAAAGCACTGGCTCATAGAGAGTACTTACAAACTAATGTTGAAAAGACATCAACCCAATAAACATTTTCTTAATTTTGCAGATCGAATAGAGCCTGATTTGAGCGCAAAGAAAAAAAAAGATCCTTGATTTTACTTTCAAAGTTTTTATGTAAGCAAAAAAGTCCAGGTTTTTCTCTACTGGTATCCGACTGGTATGGTACCAATTGAATTCTTCATACATGTACACACATATTTTTTTTCTTCACATGAATGAGTACATGTACATGTACCTGTTCAAGTCAATTACTGCACACAATATTTTGTGAGAATTGGTACATGTACAATACCCCATTGTCCTATTTCTGTTTACCTAAAAAAATATTGACAATGCAAAAGTACACAATGGTCGAAAAGTCATCAGATGCAACAACCAGTTGCGAGTGTCTAGACAAAAAGTCAACACTTTACAAACTAAAACTAAATGTAAATGTATGCAAGCCTTGTAGAGTTGATCCCAGATGAATCTGATCTAAGGGGTCTGGGGAGGCGTATGACTATGAGTCATCGTTTCTTATTATTACGTGTAAGTCTACATGTAAGTCTGAAGTTGAATATACATCACCCCGATGCAACTTTTATATTGTGAATAAGTCTGACGTGACAGTGAGTCAGTCCAGGAGTAAGTCAGTCAGCGAGATATTGGTACCTGTACAAAGAAAACTGTGGGCTGGCGCTCTGGGAACTTTGAAGTTTAAAAACTTTACGACCACAAGTACTGTCTGGTGCCTAGAGCGTTGTCGTATCAATACCAAATCGACTTGTCATGGTTCCCGACTACACGATGACGAATTGCATTAGCACTAAGAATTCGCGCGATGTGCTCTGTATGTCGTGCACAATGTTGTTTGCATGCAATGTTTGCGTGCAAATCAGTGTGATCATGCCTGTGGATTTGGTGAGAAGTTGTCTGGAAAATACACTTTTTTTGAGGAAAAGACACACTTTCAGAAAAAATATAAGATGTAAACAAATTGGGACGGGAGTGAAAATTGAGGTGATGAAAACCTAAAAATCAATGTTGATGGGCCTTAACACAAACATGCGAACATTTACATGTAATATCTTCACATACTGCAGCCTTCCTCCATGCTCAAACACAAGACACACAATTACACACAGCGCCAAATTTCTAATTAAATCCTTGAGCTGCCAGTTTTGCGAGAGAGGGGTCTCTACATTCCGGAGGAGAGAGCTCATGACGATGTCCAGTCTGACCAAAGGACTCCCAAGTCAACACAGCTGGTTCTGAATGTTCATGCTATGCCTATATTGCAAGCCCCCCAAAATGCTTTTGCATCATTTGAAATAATATAATTTACTTGAGTCTACAACGTACAAGCCCTGAATGTCCTTGCGTGACTATCAAATACCACACATGTATAAGAACTTATAAGAAGTACACGTATGTTGCTTCAACTACAAAAGTATAAAAGTCCAGCTAAACAAGATGTCTAGGGCATGAGAAATCGCTTTCATAAATCTGCAATAAGTTTACAATGCAATAGTTGCATTGTAATGGAGTAATGCAAATGTGCTACAAAATAATTAACTCATTAACTTCCAATTTCTAGCAATAACGATTGTACAAAGTGAAAGTATTCTGTACTTGTAACAAAAAACACATTCCTTTGTTTGTTGGTCGCTTGTGTCGACTTTTTTTTATTCTTATGAATAATTATGTGATGACAAACATGTTTCTTTCTAAATGATGATGCAAATGTACAGTTCTCTACCTAAGATACTGTAGCTTGCAAAGTTCATGTACCGTAATTTCCTCCCAACTGATTTTTTTCCAACGAACTACAAACCTAAAAGTCAACTCTGGAATGCCTCCTTGTTAAGCCACCACAATGATCCTGTCTAATACCAGTCCACCTCTGCTTCAACGACAAAACTAAAATATCACAGGTCTCTCCTGGGATTTTCTGTCAAAAAGGGCCAGGGAGGGGAAAACGAGGTCGGCCTGGATTTCATTTGAGATTTTCCAAATTCTTGCCCTGTTATGGCTGAGCTTGATCACCCAAGCCCCCAGGCACAGAAGGTGAAAGGTGCCAGTCTTTAAAAAGAATATAAATTGTAAACGCTGCCTGCAGATAAATACGTGATTTTCTGGTGGTCGGAGAAACTGAACAAAACACTGCATTGGAGGAAAATAGTCTAGAATGAGAGTAAGCACTGTACACTATCAAAGAGAAGAGGTGAATTGTTGATCTTATTTGCACATGTGCATGGGTGCCTGATAAAAGAAATCTCCATATTGACCTGTTCGAAACTAGAATTCCAGAGAAATTCCATACCTTTCTACTTGTATATTTAATAACTCACAATAAAAATATTTCCCCATTTCTTTTCAAATGTTCAGTTTTGTAGCAAAACAAAAAATGTCTGGGTTGGTAGGATAAATTCTTGCAAAGAAAGAGATGAGATTTGTGTCCAAAATAGATTCAGGAAAAATGCGCATAAATTTGCAGCCTTTGAAATGAGTGAATTTGAACTTGATGCCAACTGCTCAAGCTAGAAAGTTTGACAAAACATTTGTGACTTGATGCTCTGATAGTTTTCTTATTTTTGTTGTCAATGTTGTTAAATCAATGTTTTTCCTCAGGTGTTCTTATTGTTAATCTGAAATAGCAGAGTTAAAAAGTATTGAAATTTAAAGAGATTTGCACCATAAGCAGAGCCTCTTTTTACCAAAACCTCAGGGAAATTTGGATTCTTAAAAAATCCTCCACTGTGCACAATACCTCATGGCACTGCAAACCCGGAATCACTAAACAGATCGTTCAACTTGTGGTTTAATCCATCAGCTAACCACCAGAAAATCAACTAACCATATAAATTAACTTGTAGATCACTCACTGATCAACCATGGAATCACTTAACCAATTAATCATCTCACATATCAATCCATCAGCTAACTAACAATCAACTAACCATATAATTTACTTAAACTGTGGATCACTTGCTGATCAACCATGTAATCTCTTAAAAGAACACTCAACTAACTTATGAATCAGCTAACCAACAATTAACTCACTATAATAAAATTAATTAACTTGTGGACCACTTACTGATCAACCATTATTTCACTTGACAGATCACTCAACGAATATGAATCAATCCATCAGCTAACCAACTATCAACTAACCATATAATTTACTTAAAACTGTGGATCACTTGCTGATCAACCATAGAATCACTTAACAGATCACTCAACTAACTTATGAATCAGCTAAGCAACAATTAACTCACTGTAATAGAATTAATTAACTTGTGGACCACTTACTGATCAACCATGTTTTCATTTGACAGATCACTCAATGAAGTTATGAATCAATCCATCAGCTAACCAACGATCAACTAACCATATCAATAAACATCTATCACTTATACTGAAACATATCACTCAACTTACTTATGAATCAGCTAACCAACAATCAACTCACCATATAAATTAATTAAATTGTGGATCACTTACTGTTCAACCATGGATCTCTCAACTAATGAACCAAACCACCAGCTAACCACCAGAAAATCAACTAACCATACACACACAGGCCATGTCAGTCAACCATGGAATCACTTAACAGATCACTCAACAAACTTATCCATCAGCTAACCACCAGACAATCAACTAACTACAGGTAGACCACATGTAAGAATGTAATGTAAAAATGTTCTGCTCATTAGCCCTAGAATAAGTACTCTAACTTCCAGACTACAGGACCTTGAGTTAAGAAAACAGAAATGGTGTACCACAGACGAAAACATAACTCCAGTTGATGAAACAACCGGTGCGGGTTTATTTGTTCCCACCTGTCTGTCAAAATGACTGCACAGTTCTACCCCCAAGGATGAAACCTTGCAAAAACAAGCTGGCAATCATCTCCCTGAGAGGGGAACAATGACATGAGATAACTGCTACGGGTCGATTTGAAAGACTAGGCGGTACCAACCGTGCGGAAAAAAATTGCTATTGTCGAGAAACTGGTAGAAAGTCATGCTTGCAACGGGTGGGAAACACCGAACCAAGCAATGCATGGATATGACAGGTTTCATTTTATAAAAAAAGGAATTTATAAAAATAACAAACAAGTAAATAAGTTATCTAACGTGGTAAAAAGAAAAAAATGGCAGTTGGGCATTTTTGGCACGAATTTGAAAGGGAGATGTTTTAACCAGAATAGAAGAAGAAGAAGAAAACCGAGTGTAAGGTTTGGGGTAAAACAAAAACGACATTAAAAAACCCAGAAAGTCAAATACTGCAAAATATCAATAACATCTTAGAAAACAAATAAGTCTTGGCGTAGCACAATTTTTTTTTTTTTTTTTAATCTGATTGTTTGGCAACTAGCATAAGAAACTTAAAAGTTTGAAATAATCTTTTATGTACAACTGTTTGATGCCAGTCAGCAAATCAGACAACATTTCAAGAAGATTTAGATAAAAAAAAAGTAAATCTTTCAGCTTACCACATAGTGACGGTGTTTCGTCCGACTCATCTCGGCAGTGTGGTATCCCGTCGCAGAAAAGTCTGGCATCATAACAGAGCCCGTCGTCGCAGTACCTGTCTGTGTTCCGGCATGGAGGCGAAGACAGGCAAGCTTGCTCATCTGAGCCATCAGCACAGTCGTAGCCGCCATTGCATCGCAGGGACAGCGCCACGCACTCACCGCTGCGGCAGCGATAGTCGCTGTCGCCGCGGCAGACTGACGGCCGCGGGGGTTGAGACTCGGGCGACGTCTCCTCCACCGGCTGCTGCGTCGTCGGGGGAACTGTCAGCAGTAAAACAAAAACAATGCAGTATATGAAATTCAGACGAAGAGCATTCGAGTCGGTGGCCCTCCTCCGATTATCACTGAAATACTCCATCCTCCAAGTGAGTCTACAATTATCCTGAGAAATCCTGCAGTTTAGCTAAAGAAGACTCTACATCCCAAGCACTCTTATGATGTGATGGAGCCAGAAGTTTTGGGGGTTTTAACATCCCGGGTGTTCAACTGCATGTGTTGGCTACTGAGTGCACAGCGCATCAGGGATAATGGTCCAAAACTTGACCCCAGCGAGACACAAGCAACCAGCACACCAGCCCAGTCAGACGGCTAACACCTCAACTGGCAGGAGGCATCTGACTGACTGACTCCCCGGAATGTTCACTGAGGCTCACATGTACTGTACACATGTACGCACACAGTGTACAGTCACAGACCAGCCTTCAGGGCCATCGATACTTCACACGCGCAGCCAGCAAGGCACAGAGACATGAATAATGTCTGTGAGTGCCAACAAGTTCTGCTTGGCTACACTGCTCAGTGTATCTGGCGATCACACGTCCCTGGCCTACACAGTACCAGCCACCCAGAGGGGCTGTCTCACAGAGATCCAAGGATTTAAGATTTTCAAAAAGCCTTCTGGCTTTTATCTGCTATCAAGATCGATTAATGAATAAATATTTATGGTAGCCATCACAGATATAATCAGTACACATAATGTAGTGTTCAAACTTCAAGGCTCCTTTCCATATGGTAAACTAAATTAACAGTATACATTTGTCTTTCCATATTAATTAAATTAAATTCAATGAAACTTTAGTTTGTCTTGCCTTTATTGTGTAATCGGGCATATGCAAATGTCCCAACATGTTCGGCAAAACTAGGCAGTTTTGAAGTACGTTTTTCAGCAAAGGCTCAGTTAAAGGAAAGAGTCAAAGGTACATTTTTGTACAGGCACCTTCTTGCAAAGTCTGCGGTAGCATTTTTCAGGATATTTTATATTCTCACTTCATTTACATGTAGTTGTGGGTCATTCTATAAATTTGGGGTCCATTTTTTCCTGTCCCTGTTACATTTGACATCTATGATTTTAAAATTCTGATGCACTCCTTAATGCAGTTGTCCTCCAAGAGTGATTATGAATAGCAAACTACCCAACAAATAAAAAGTCATTTTGAAGTTTAGTCTACTTGAATGGCAAATCACAAAGTACCAACAGGGACAGGAAAATGTCACACACTGGACCATAAATTTGTAGAATGACTCTTACATAATATGAGTATACATTTATTAATTCTAAAAAAAGAACAAGACTTTATATTAATTTTACAACGGAATTTGAACGTGGCTGATCAGATTCAAAGCCTAACCTTTCAATTCCTCCTTATTCTTGAAACTTGAAAAGATTTGCATAATTACCAGTAGCAGACTACCACTTGTTTACCAAAACTTAAGGGAAGCTTGTGTTCTTAAAGCTGGTATACATGCTTTTTCAAAATTTCTAATTTTTTTTTCCAAACAAATTTCAAAGGAATATAATGTCCTGAAGCAAATAAATTTGCTCGTTTGCCTTTGCAGGCCTTTGCACAGTTTTTAACAGTGGTTTTAAATAGCGCCCTCCAGTTCAGAAAGTTTTGAGCGAAATGCTGTAAATATTTGTATCTAGTCACATAGCCATGCAATACATACCGGTACATGTGGGTCTTTCCACACTAAAGGGGTACAAAAGTGTGACATGGGATTGGGAAATGAAGCAGGATAATAATATCAAGTTGTTTGTCATATTTTCCACTTGTACATTCCCACCCCATTGTTGAGGACTGTGCTTTTAAAGAATTTACATGCAAGACTTTCCAGGCAAAATTGTCAAGATATTTATGCTCACAGTGCTACCGGGTACGTACTAACATGGACAGAAAGCTTGTTAATATTGATAAAAAGTTATAATTACAATAAATGTCTTTATCAAATATTGTGCCTTTTTATTCTTACAGCATTGTTACCTACAGCATTGTTACCTGTAAAAACCAAGATAATGAATTGTATATTTCAGATGTCACAGGGTATTGTGTCCAGAATATTACGTACGTAACGTGGACAGAAAATTGTCACAACATTTCTGTCCACGTTACGAATGTTACCTATAAGTTTCTTAAAGACCAACACAATTGTGTTCATTGTGGCTATTAGCACTCCTAAATGGGTTATAAATCTGAATGAGATGACATTTGGGTGAACTCATGCACATTATAATTAGTGTCATGTCAATTTGTAGCAAAAATTCTGCCTTTTGTTACGTACTTAATTTTTACAATGACCCCTGCGATTTCTTAAGTACAGAAAAGGTTTTCTATATTGTTTGTACACATGATCATTAAGGTCTCAGGAAAGCACAGGAAACAACTGAACAAAATATCTCGCTTTGCTGTACCCTCCACTGTCCTCCTCTCAAATCTCAAATCTGCAGTCAATTGTACCCCGTTAGTGTTGAAATGCCCATGTACGTAAATTTTAAAATAACACATTTTGTATTCGCCCCGCCCCATCCCAGCTACATGATGGTAACGACCAATCGGAGACACTGCTTCGGGATCGTGTAGACCCACCGGTATGAGCAGCCAGGCTAGCCTGGCTGCACCCCAGCTCCTACGTTCCATCAGAATCTCTGCTACTTTTGCATCTTTTCCTCTCCGAAGATCGCAAAACCCGTGATTTTCCAAGTCTTGTTTTACGTAGTCGCAATGGTGTCTACCTGATGTTCCCCAATACCTATATTCCCCAATACCGATGTTCCCCGAGATCCTTAGGATTAGGGTTAGGTTTGGGGTTAAGGTTAGGGTTAGGGTTAGGGTTATAGGGTAAGGATTTCGGGGAACATCGGTATTGGGGAACATCGGTACTGGGGAACATAGGTATGCACCCATCACAATACAGTACAACACTGTATACACACACTAGGCCTGGGTGAGTAGTGGATTTCTCTACTCGAGTACTCGCAAAGAAATTACTGTCACTGCAGCAGCTGTGCAGTGAGTTTGTCTTAAGTTTATTAATTTTCTTAACAAGTTTTTCATAGTTTAAATTTAGAATTCCATTTTTAGAGTATTACTTCATATTTAGTGAAAGAGCCTACAGTTAACTTTCACCTAATAAAAGTGAAAGAGCCTACTTATGTGTTGCATTAAGTAGCCTCCTTCCCACCACCAGAGTGACCTTGTGCACTTCCTATGTGCATACAGAGACCCTGTGTGGGTACAAGTACCACATAATCTTGCCACATAAACAATGGGCAGCCATATTTACTGACCATGTGATTTCAGAGACAAGTGTTTTCATACTCATTGCAATTTAGTTTTTCAAGTTTCATCACTTTATTCACTCTTTGTGGACCTTGAAAGACCCCATTTTGGTAAGAAGCATTTTCCTTGATTTTATAAGTTACTTTTAATAAGTTTAGAGACAGAATTCAGTGGATTTTCTGAGATTTTACAGTTGATTATTCATTCAGCAAAAACAGATTGAACTGCAAATAGTGTTTAGACTTGACAAATCAGACTTCACATTTTTGGACTCAACTTGCCATGTTTAATAGATTAGACTTTTCCATGTACATTTATTATAGTTTTCTTATTAGTGTTTTTTCTGCTTTATTAAATTGCAGATTGTTATCTCAATCTACTCAATCTACTATCAGCAATCACCACCATGTTGTCAAGTGGCTTCATTGTGTTTTGTGTGTGGTTCCTGGATTGATTGCGAATACCAGTCACTTGGGAGTCCTTTTCTCATAAGTTTGAGAACTAGTAGTCCGAAACTCCTCTGGGCACAAGTGAGCCCCGAGGCAGCCACAATAACAATCAAAATAACAATCAAAATAACAATCAAAGGACAATCAAAGTCACAACCAAAGTCCAGTCGTTCCAGAGCATGCAGAGTGAATAAACCCACGTCATGTCGTTACCAATCCAGTCGTCTTCTAGTCATAAGGTTGACAAGTCAAAGAAGAGTAACGCCGGTCGAGCAGCAAGTCACGCTGGTCATGTGTCGTCTTACAAGTCAAGTAAGAGTTCCAGTCGAGCCAGTCATGCCGTGTCCGTTACATCATCATATGCACGGCATCAGGAAGAAAAGCTGGAACTAGCGAAAACAGCGGCTGCTCTGCAGGTCCAGCTAGACTATGCAGAGAAAGAAAAACAGCTGAAACTCCTGGAGTTGGAGGCGGCAAAGAAAGTGGAGGAAATGAAGATCGAGAGAGACAAAAAGTTAGAACAACTTGAAATAGAGAGGAAATTGGCCGAAACCCGAGCTGTGATGCAGGTGTACTCATCGCTGGAGCGGGATGACAACAGTTCAATATCATCAGAGCTGTCCGGCATCCCCGCCGACAAACATGAACATATGCAGAGATTCCTCAACTCGCATCAAAGTGATCACCCCCCTCCATTGTGTCCATCTGTGCCCCAAAGTGAAGGCGCATATGTGGACAATGCGTCACTCCAACCAGTTGCCATGGTTACATCAGCCAATCAGAACAGATCTGATGAACAGTCCAGTGTACATCATTCTCATCACCAAAGTGAAGGAGGACGGATGACGATGTCGTCGGCACTTGAAAAGTGCATTACACAGTTAGCCGAGTCCAGTAGACAACAGCATGATGTAAACAAACGCCTTGTTGCATCTAGCCAGCTACCAAAGATAGCCGTCCCCCATTTCAACGGTGATCCACTCCAGTACCCCCTGTGGCGGAACTCCTTCAATTCCCTTATCGACAGCCAACCCCTTGATGCCGACACCAAGCTTAACTACCTCAATCAATATGTGACGGGGAAACCAAAGCACCTAGTGGAGCACTACATGCTCATCGGCACTGAAGAGGCCTACACGCAGGCAAGAAAAGTATTGAACGAGAGGTACGGAAACAGTAGTGTAGTGAGCACTGCTTTCATAAGCAAACTCCGTCAGTGGCCGAGGTTAACGCCGAGGGATGCAGCAGGCTTGAG